ACCAGGGGGTCTGTTGTTGTCAATGCTGCCATTTTACAGTGAAACTTTTGTTGTACTGTATTTTGCTAGGATGTGTAGTTCTCTCATGTCATTTGGCTCACTTTCAGTAGCATTTCATATTGATTATCATCACTCTGAGGTTAGTATGTTCCCTGTAAGCAGCAGACAGTTAGCTGCATATCCAGCTGGAATTTGAATCTAAATAAACCCATTGGCCTTTTTAACATTTGTAATGCAGACACTGTACACTGAATTTTTTTTTGGACTATATAAATGGCAGTTGATTTCGACAAACAGTCATTGCCTTAAATTGATGATCAGATCCAGCACCAAGTATATCCCTCTCATTAGCGAGATTAAAATGCCATCACAGGAATAATTGCTCTTTGCTGAAAAAAAGTCCAGCTAAATGGATGACTGACTGCAGCTCGTCACACATAAATTACCTTTGACAGGCTCAGTGGCAACCTACTGTAATTGACAAATTATACGACCCTGATTATAGCTACTTAGAAGTCATAAACAACATTTTGCAGTCCAGAGATTTGGGGCATCCTGAGTGCCATTAAAACATGAAACTGAGTTGATATTGATTGTTAATAGTGGCCTAACCTCCCTGACTTTTAGACAAAAATAAATAAATGAAAACCATTAAGCTGAGTTTTTGGCTGGCCCTGTTCCACTGATCAATGCCATGTAACATCCAAAAAGGAGATTTTCAAAATCAAAGCTGTCGCTATAGCAACGCCCCTGCCAGATTCCACCAATCAATGGAGTCTGTGGGGTTGTGAGATGCGCCAGGGAAAGGCCAGCGTCCTACATAAAGAGTGCGGGACAGGGAGCCGGGCGGCACACTCGGGGCAACACACTTTTCTGCACTCACACGACAAAGGCACAGCAGCAAGAAGAAAAGTCAGGAGAAGAGTGGCACAGGGTAAAGAAGAGTAGGGGAAAGGAAAAAGAGAGGAAGAGTAACTGAGAAGATATGGTGCGCTCCTGTGGACAAGGGATCCCTGCCTGGGTCGCTGTGGGCACCCTGGTCTTCTTAATCCACTCTGTCACAGTCAGAGGAGGTAAGATAAGAAATAACATGAGTACTTCCAATTGTTTGCTTTTCCAGAGTTATATCAACTTCGCATCCTTTTTTTAGTGCCTTACAGTTTAAGAGAAGCTGTTTTGTTCTATTTCAGTTCAGCTTCCCCCATATTGTCAGTGGGTAGTAGGGCACGGCATGAATAGTGGCTTGTGCTCAGCCTCAGGGCAGGGGTAGAGTATTATTTATCTAGTCTACTTATTCTGTCCTCAGCTCTGTCTGTGCAGAGAAAGAAAGACAAGTCCATTTGCTGCCTGGCTTTGTGCCGGCTCAGTAAAACGGTACAGTATAAGCTCCGAGGTGATGCTTTTCTTGCCTCCTGATGAAGATCAGACTTTACCGATTTTGACCAAAGCTATTGAAGGCCACATTTCTGTGCTGTCAGATAAGATTTCATTTGAGATTCCTCATGGGCACAGACTCATTTCATCTTATATTTAGGAACTGTGTATTTTTATTTTTAGCTTCAGTGAAAAGGACACAGCCTTTATTCATAACTTGTTTGTCCTTTTTGAATTTTTCTCTCAGATATTTGAAAAATCTGAAATAAAAAAACTGTTTCCCTAGGTGTGATTAATTAATTGTTCCAATTGGATGTGGTGTGCCATAATCATTTATAAAAACACCCCCCCTCACCATGCTCAGCTGGCTCATGGTGCTGGCTGCCTAATTGGAAGAAGGTTAACTTTGAAGTAGGGGCGCTTGATTGTGGTAGAGATATGGGAGACCTTCCAGGGAGCCAATGTGCTCCCCCTGTGGCTTATTAAACCCCCAGTTGCAGGCCGACTGGCGGCTGTGGCAGAATGGAAACAGCAGCTTGTCACTCTCAGTCTTTTCATGTGTGATTCTCCAGTAGGGGCTTCTTGTACTTGCGCATAAGAGGGCCCATAGAAGCAGCAATCTGCAATGGCACTGCAAACTCAAGATTATTTTCTGAGCACCTATAGTGCCGGATGTTTTCTGACTCAGTCACTTGGCTTGTTCTCATCAATTGAAACCAGAAAAATAGATGGACGTGCAAATCTGTCTTTTCCCAGATACATATTTTCAGTTGTGGTTTTGTCGATGTGTTACGGAGTGCTTGCTGTCTCAAATCTGATTTAAGCTGTTGATCATGAACTCGGCTGTGAATTCTTGAAATGCAAAGTCAGGCTGATGCAAATTACATTTAACAAAATAAGAAATAATGCAGGTGCTAATGATTGAAAACAATCTTGTACTTTCAGAAAACATTTTTATATTCTTTTTAATGCTAATACATCAGATTTCCTCTGGCTTTGAATATTCATGGTTGTTTTCCTGTTAAGTGCTGCTAGTCCATCATCTTGCACTTTATTTCCACAGCTGCCCTGAAGCAGGAGGTACCATTGGACAGTGGGGCCACGGTGCTGAATCACTCCATGAGTATGGTGCAGCGAATGGAGAGCCTGCTGGCCCTAGGGAACAGCAGTGATGTCACTCTCCGGGTGCAGACCATCAACACGGACGAGGTGAAGGTGATCCAGGCCCACAGCCTGGTTCTCACGCTGCAGAGTGTGGTGTTTGAGGAACTGCTGCTTAGTCGCAACAACAGCTATTTGCTTTTGAGGGAAACGCCTGATTGTGCAGCTGTCTTTGACAAGTTTATCAGGTGAGGGTGAGGTGTAATCATTTGTTCAGATTTCATTAGGTTTAATTAGGTTAAACTTATTAAAACCATTATATAATCTGTGCAGCTACTTGTAGATGCTTTAACAATGTAAAGTGTTGATCTTCACTCACCATTTTGTCTCTCCGTTGGAGAAGTGAGATACTCCATCTTGTGAAATATTCTAAAATTACACCTGCTGTTTGAGGCTCACAGTTGAAAACGGAAAGTGTGGGTTTATTCAGTGACTCAGATGTGAGAAGGGAAACAAAGATGTATTCCTTATTGAAAGATATACTATTTTTAGTCTTTCAAAAATATCTGTTGATGACTATTGCAGCTTTGTTTTTCTCTTCTAGGTATCTGTACTGCGGTGACATCTCAGTGCGGCTAGATCAGGCTGTTTCTCTGCATAAGCTGGCCAGCAAGTATCGAGTGTGGGGCCTTCAACAGGGTCTAACCCAGTTTATGACCCAACATCTGTCTAGTGATTCACCCACAGGCCATGTGATTGGCTGGTACAACTATGCATTACAAATGGGGGACATGGTCCTGCGGGACAGCTGCCTGCAGTATCTGTCCTGGAACCTGTCCTCTGTGTTTCAGAGCGCAGAATGGAGCTCCATAAGTGAAGACCTGCTCTTTTCCTTGCTCCAGCGCTCTGACCTCATTCTGCAGAGTGAGCTGGAGCTCTACGAGGCCCTGGAGGCCTGGATCAGCCAGAACCAGCCTGTCAGTTCAACAGTGGAAAGTGCCCTAAAGGCTGTTCGATACGGCATGATCCCCCCTCATCACCTATTCCGTCTTCAGAAGCAATCCCCCCTCATGCAGAAGCATTACGAGTCTATCCGAGATCTACTCTACTTAGCTTTCCAATTTCACTCCGCCTCACCTATCCAACTGGCAAAGTTCTTTGATGTTAACTGCAGTATTTTCACTCCCCGTAACTACCTGTCCACATCCTGGGGTTCCCCTTGGGTTATCAATAATCCCACCCGTGATGACCGCAGTTTCAGCTTCCAGACCCAGCTCGGGCCCAGCGGCCATGACTCCAGTAAGCGAGTGACCTGGAACGCCCTCTTCTCCCCTCGCTGGCTCCCACTCAGTGCCAGGTCAACCTACACTGAGCTGGGTGCCATGCAGCCTACACGCACAGATGGTGGTCGACCTCGCATTATTGTAACACCAGCCACTTCCAGCCCAGACTTTGCTGGTGTTAGTTTCCAAAAGACGGTGATCGTGATGGCAAGACAACAAGGAAAAATTGTGGTTCGCCACGTCTACAACTTCCACCAGAGCACTGAGGAGGCTGGGGATTTCCTGATGGATGCTGACCTGCAGCGCCGTGCATCAGAGTACCTGATTGATAGCTCCCTCTATCTGCACATTGTAATAAAACCTCTCTACCATACCCTCCTTGTTGCCAGGAAATAAAAGCAGTGATGTGTGTGGCCTTACCATACGTTAGCCACCATTCACCCACACAATCACATGCACATATTCCAAAGTAAACTCATATCACAGCACATGTTTATGCATCAGGTCTGTGACATCTATATTTGGTGAGAAGGTTTTTTTTTGTAACATACAAAACTATTACAGCTTAACTATCACAATAACAATAGTGGTTTTCAGTATTTCATGCATACTAAGAAAAAAACATTTAATGTACTGTATTTGTTCAAAGTATTGTAGTCCAGCAGTTGTTTCCCTTGAATTACTTAAATCCACGTGATGGTTAATGTTTTTTCATAGGTACTAGAGAGGTTTTGCTTTAAAATAAGATGTATTGCTTTTATTTTTTCTCATTCGACTTCTCAGCAACCAAATATAGATTTTAGTTAAATGCACTTATCCTATGACATACCCTTATATAGCCTACTTTCCATACCAAAATGTGTTGATTAAACTTAAATCCCTCTATTGGTGTTCCTTTACTGTAGTTGACTATAGCAAGACAGTGAGTTCTTTAGTATTCTATTGTTTTTTTATTACCTATTGATACATAATGCATTTTGTCTTACTTTTAATAAACTGCACCAGTATTTGATGTTCATCCTCCAAAAAATAAAATAAAAACAATTTAAAAAGAGTATTTCTGTGTTGAGTGGTTTGCCCTTCAAATATAAAATCTACGAGATCGTAGTTAGTGTCATATTTGTTGGTAAATTAATACTGGTATTGTTGGAGAAAAATCTCGCTTTATTTACAGAGAAAGTGCTCACACAATATAAACTACTTATCCCATGATGCTTAGCACGAAACAGGAAATACGTCATTACGTCGTTGGAACCTTCAGCTGTCAGACTTTGGCCACCCTAAAAGTGGAGGTTTTGTTAGCAAACTAACTCGAACTGTTCAACCCGCGCAGACTTTATTTAAAGTTGTGCATCCATCTGCGGATTGATCTTTGAACGCGCCAGCTGGTGATTGTAGCACTGAGATTGCACGAAGACGAACTGTTTAGTTTTAATCGCTGCTAGTTTTTGCACAAGCCAGCGATCCTGAGCGGGTGTAAGGCTAGATGCAGGGAGGGAGGGAGTAAAAAAAGGCAAAAGTCTTTGTGCTTCCCTTCCCCCTCATCAAAGCAAAGGGGAAATGTCTCTGTCTAAAGGAGGTAAGTGGTGTTTTTCCACTCTTTTTTTAAAAGTAACTGTGCATATACTCTAAATTAAGACGTGTAGTTTGCGTGGAAGTAATTTAGCTAGCTATGTTTCAGAAATGTAACCTTGCCAGGTGGAAAGCTGCATGTATGAGGGCAGAAAAATAAGCTAGCCAGCATGTCTTTCCTGCTTTCTATCATTATGCGAAGTCTCTGGACACACTGCTGTCTGAAGGTATTCATCGTAGACTTACTGATATTGTGCTAACTTATAGTTTGTACTATTAATATTTTAGCTAAATGCTTCACTCGCGTCCTCGTTTAAGTTCCCGTGTTGTGATAAGCTAACACCGTTTTCACGACAATAAAGGACTTTTGCCAAGCTGTAATTCAGAACCAACCTGCCCCTCAGCTGGGAATCACCGCGCTGCCGGGATTAGTTTCTCCCCTACGATAAAGTGGGACCACAGGTGTTAATATTTTCCGACCTCCTGACTCATGACTGCTCGTTTGGGGTGAAGTTATTTTTGCTTTGGCAAGTGTGTTGGCGCACAAATATTTTTAGCACTGCGACGAACTAAATGCATTTTTTTTCCGTCGGTGGAAATTGTTGTTTTCTTTTAAAACAGGCGGCGAAGCTAAGAAACCATGGCGCTATCACACACTTCCGCCAGTCAGTCATTGCGTCTGTGTAATCAGCGTACACGGTTGAATAAAACACACACCTTTTAAAAATCAAGGTCCTTCCTCTACGTCAAACACACACACACACACACACACACACACACACACACACACACACACACACATTATGATGATGATGTCAATTTACATTTCAAGTTCACCGCTTGTGCTGTTACACAATCATACTAGCGTTACCATGGTCGGGAGTACACACTGTGTTCAGAGCGCTGTGTAGATTGGTGCTTCTGCTCAGGCAATCACAGCCTTTGGCCTACCATGGCATGTTTTGACTTGCAGCACCAATACCTTGTGCAGCCTCTCTTTGTTGACAGTTCACTGGCTGCAAGCAGATTCTATATAGCTGCTACACTGGTTCTGTGCTGTAATTACTGTGTGCACTGATAGGTCTTTGTGAAAGTGTTTTTTGTTCTCTCTCTCTGGCCACTACATGATTGTGCCTTCCGTGGTCAAGGAAGGAGCGGGCCTGAGTGCATTTAAGGGCTTTCCATGGTATTGCTGAGGCATGTTTGGAGATTGGGTTCCCCCTAACGGCACTGATAGGGTTGTGTGGAAGATTATATGGGCATGAGTCATCCTTTTTCTGTATATGGACCCACTCTGAGGCGGGAGCTTCCTGATGGTGACTAGCCACACAGCTATTGACATTTTGATCTCATGCACGATCCTGGAATTCTTGTTCACATTACGCACTGCACCGTGGATAGTTTCCACTGAACATCTTTTGGTTTTCTAAGAATTGCTGCATTTCCTGTCGAAGCGCACCAAGCCACTGCTACTCTCACAAGTAGATGATACTGATAACTCCAACACAGCATCAGTAGAATAAGATAGACACAATGATCAATACTTGCAATTAAAACACTGTAGCTTAAGAAAACTGTTCCTATGTAAAGACAAATACAGGTTGTGGAGATGTTAGAATGCGACTTGGCTTCATTGCACACATTGATGTTAACATTATTGTTCATTGTATACAACTAACTATGCCGTGAATAAAGAGCAATCTCTGGGAAATGGCATTTGTTAACGTGATATATACTCTTGACTGCAGCTGAGGCTCTGTGTCCTGTCAAGCTTAGTGCGAGGGCCAGTTGCAGCAGAAAGCTTTCTGAAGCTGGCCTCGGTTGGGTCTATTGGGGACAGCGAGCAGCGGGAAGCAAGCAGGCCAAGTGAAGTGACATCATATTTCCCAAAAGGTCCTGACAGTTGTTGTGTTTTAGGCGGATGTGTCCAGTCTGGCTGCGAGTCATATTCCAGCAAACACTTGCAGCTTGCCTTCACATACTGCTACCTGAATGGAGTTATGAGTATTTCAAATCCATTAATATTTCACAGTAAATAAGTTTTGCAGTAACTATGACCTAATTGAAACAAAAACACTGCATAGAGTGAAAGAAAGTTTTGCAGATATCTCAAATAGCTTAAAAACTGTTTTTGTACTTCACTGCGATGTTCGCATGCAAACAAATTTTGGTCCATGAACAAAAGACTGTCTTATTTGTCAGGTCATCAGAAATCTTTGAGTGCTCGTACTTTATCCCACGCAGAGGAAATGCAAAATCTATTTTTGACTGAGCATGTGTGAGTAAATCACACTTCAATCTCTCCCTACCACATGAGACTGCCGTAGTCTGTCCAGACACTGGAGGCCTATTTTAGGGCTGCAGCACAAAATGGACCTGTCTGACGTTTCAGTGGTTGGCCATAAAATCTAAAATCTTTGTTAAACTTCACTTCCCTTCCAGCTTAATCTAGCAAGGAGGGGTTTACCCAACTTACTTCCTCCACACTGGAGTATTGTGACTCACTCGATGGCAAACACAACCCAACAGAATGAATAAGAGCTGTTGCATTTGTTCTAAAGTGAAGGTGTTTGTGCATGAAACCAGTTTCTCTGAACTGTAGTAGAGTAATTGCACAGCCTGTCCTGAGCATGCAGCAGGACCTGAACAGGAAATAAACAGCCAGGACTGAAATGTTTCTCATCATATCCCTGTGGGTGGGAACATTTAAGCACACAGTGGTAAAGGTCAAGAAAATGGTTCTATTTTTCCTGTTGACCTTGCAACAAGAGCTCACATGCTGAACACAAGTGTCCGTGTCAAGAAAAGTTGAGTTGTTTTTGCTTTGTTGCTACTCGTAGGCCCGGTAGCTGTGTCATTCTGGCAGGGACTTGCAGCCTCTTGTGGGAAGTCCCAGAGGCTTCTGGTAAATTGTGTTTATGAATGGACTGCTGTCACTGATTCAACACAGAAAAGGTCCAGGAAGTGCAGTTTACCGCACAATAATCAAGAAATCTAAAACTAAACTATGGAAAAAAAACATTGATGGGTGGTTTGATAAGAATTATAGTATCAGTACAAATAAAAAATCTTCCCCTGCACCTGCCTTTTTTCCATTTGAGTCATCATACCAATGTCGATTAGTCATTTAGTCCACCTATTGCAGGGCCTCAGCTTTGAGTACACCTCATCTCTTGATAACCGATCACCTGCTGCAGGTTATGGCAAATGAGGCAACTTTATTGAAACCTTGAAAAACCTATTGCTACCAGAATAGAATAAAATTCCCCATCAATAGACATGGATGGTGTGAAAACAAGTTCATTGTGCACTTAATAGCCTAAATTAAAATGTAAAGCAAGCCTCCTCTCCACACTCAGGCACAAGTGGTGTGACCATTTGCCTTAGTCCTTTACAAAACTCAGCTAATTATACTACTCTGTTGCTCCTAAATATCGATCACCGTATGACTATCACAACGCTGAGATGGTAATGGGTTTTCTAATTTCTTGTCTCCAAGGGAAGAAGAAGAACCCTGGGCTGAAGCTGGCCAAAGAAGTGTTTGCACAGCCCCCCCCAGCAGCAGCAGCGTAAGGCTTCTTTTTACAATGGGTTAGAGCAAGAACATTGAAATGGCTTCAGCCTGGTATTTACTTATTGCATCTAATAGAGATACTTTGGGTAAACATCTTTCACTGTTGCTATGTGCATATGTACCGTTCAGTTTATTTATTTTTACTGTTTTATACATTTGTTGTGTTCTATTTAATTTTTATTTCATGTGCAATGCTCGTCTACATGCTGCTGTGACAAAAGAAATTCCCAAACTGGGATCAATAAAAGTACATCTTATCTCTATCCGTGTACATGTTGGCCAAAAAGAAAGAAATGACGTCCACCGACTTGAATTACTTATTGCTTCAACTTTATCTCATCATTTATAAATAAACATGCACAATTTCTCTTACAGTGTGAATATTCATTACTGAGCATTATAACATGTTCTTCCTGTCTTAACCTTGCTCTCTCCCTGCAGGCCCCCTCGAGATCTTGACTCGAAAGCTTGCGTCACAATTGGAGACCAGGTAAGATTGGTTATGGTTTCCCTGACACATGCGATTATGCCTTTCTCTCCTGAACACGTACATGAATACAACTTCTGCCTCTTTCCTCTAGAACTTTGTGGTGAAGGCAGATGACTTGGAGCAGATTGGAGAGCTGGGCAGGGGGGCGTACGGCGTGGTCGACAAGATGAAACATGTGCCCAGCGGTGTTATCATGGCTGTCAAGGTGGGCTGTGGGGCCGCTTCTCGGGTTACCTGATCTGTTAACGCACCGTGCTTTTTAAAATAGTACCATGACTCATAGATGTATTCAACATATGAGCTCAACTTGTAAACATTTGGATGAGATCTATCCGATCCATAATATGCTATAGTGGGGAGGGGGGGGGACACGATTTGATTTTCTGCCCTCTGATGACGCCTAATTAAGCATCTTTGAGCGTTAGGAAAATCAGCCAAAAAATCAAATGTAGTAGTAGTAGTAGTATTATTATTATTATTATTATTATTATTATTAATGTGTAATGTTTGCGTCCCCAGAGGATTCGTGCCACCGTCAACACGCTGGAGCAGAAGAGGCTTCTGATGGACTTGGACATTTCTATGAGGACAGTGGACTGCTTCCACACCGTCACATTCTACGGTGCCCTCTTCAGAGAGGTGAGCACACGAGGACTGTCATGGACTCCTGCAGGTGTTGCGTTGTGTGTGTGTGTGATCATCCTGTTTTAAATTGTTGGGTGACATCTTTCTTTCTTTCAGGGGGATGTCTGGATCTGCATGGAGCTGATGGACACGTCTCTGGATAAGTTCTATAAGAAGGTTATCGAGAAAGGCAAAGACTTCCCAGAGGACATCCTGGGCAAGATCACAGTAGCAGTACGTCCTGTCCCATATTTTTCACTATTAGTGTCACATGCTTTACATTATTACAGGATCGGTCCCAACATTTTGGGGAAAGTAAACATGTTGACTTTTCGCCGAGAGCAAGTTATGTGTCCTTTTTTTTTTTTTTTTACAGATTTGGCCGCATTCAGTTACTTAGATATGTGGTGCTTTATAAAATATGAGTGACTCCTGGGGAAAAAAACAATTAAAAAGTGTATAAAACATAAATATTGTATCATGTATGTGCACGTAAAACACTCATTGTAACTGAGAAATCATATTCATCTACATTTCTGGATAATATTATTTAAAAATGTCTCCTTTTCTTTAATGTTCTCTCTCCACAGATTGTCAAGGCATTAGAGCATCTGCACAGTAACCTGTCTGTGATACACAGAGGTAATTCAATTGTCAGTGTATGCCGTTTTTAGCTTTCCGTCAATGTTTCTCATTGTTGCTAGGCTATTTTCTCCGTCATCATTTTCCCCGACATGTCTTTTCCCAGATGTGAAGCCCTCCAATGTTCTGATCAACACTCAGGGCCAAGTGAAAATGTGTGACTTCGGCATCAGTGGCCACCTGGTCGACTCAGTGGCCAAAACAATGGACGCAGGCTGCAAGCCCTACATGGCGGTAAGTGCGGATTGTTGAATTTTTTTTTAATCTACTGGGGAATTGCTTTTTAAAATGTCTGAAAAAACAGATATTAACAGTCCAGGAGGATATTATACAGTCCTCTATTTTCCTAACCACTTCGCTTCAACATCTCAACTGTATGAATGAAGGTTTATAATCTTATTTGCATGCCTTTTTTTAATTCTTGACGGGGTTTAATTCTTAATAGCTTTCATCTGTAAATATTGATTATAATGATTTATTTTCCTGTTTATATATTTAAGTAAATGCGCCAAAAAAAGTAAAGCTTTCCTTTAAAGATGCAGGATAACCGTTTTTTGTTCAAATCGTTCTCGTATAACATTGGTACTTAACCTGTTGTTAATGATCTCTTTCAGCCTGAGCGGATCAACCCCGACCTCAACCAGAAAGGCTACAGTGTCAAGTCAGACATATGGAGTCTTGGCATCACCATGGTGAGTAGAGTTTGGTTTGAATATGTGAAACTCGATGCCATTTGTGATGCATTTTAGGCAAAATAATCCATGTTTTCTATTCACTTTAAACAGAGGTGGGAGAAGTTCTCAGATCTTGTACTTCTAGTATAAATAGAAGTACCAGAGTGTAGGAATACTGTGTTACAAGTAAAAGTCCTGCATTCAAAATGTTACTCAAGTAAAAGTACAAAAGTATTGGCATCAAAATATACTTGGAGTACCAAAAGTACTCGTTAGGCAAATTGGTCCATTTCAGAATAATATATACATTATATGTTTTGATTATAATGATTGATGCATTAAAGTGGTATCAAAGCTGTTAAAGGGGCAGCTAGTTAGAATGACTTTGTATGCTGCAGGGTAGCTTGTGAATGTTACTCCAGGTTTAAATAACGTTCTTTTTAGGTGTTGATTATATTTCACATTTATTATAAAAAAATCTGTAAGTAACTAAAGCTACGAAATAAATGTAGTGGAGTAAAAGTACACCATTTACCTCTGAATTGTAGTGGGGTAGAAGTACAAAGAAGCATACAATTTTAAATACTCAAAAAAGATTATTTCATATATCGCTTACACGACTACAAAAAACAAAATTATTATTCTACCTTGGTTGAATGTATTATTTCATTACTCTATACTCCAATATAATATTCAAGTTATTGTACGAAATGCATCAGAGTGTGTTACGTAGGATAAAAACACCTGTTTCCAAGCAGTAAAGTTTGAACTGTTATTTATTCTGCCTTCTGTGAATTAGTCTGTGATGAGCATCTTGTTTTTTAAATTCATAATAAAGCTCAAGCAGTACAACACCATGTTGGTGTGCATTCCCAACCAAAGTATATTTTGTCAGCGTGATCATTTCTATTTGATTAAAACGATAAAGAAATGTCAAAGAGATCCCACAGGTAACTCCTATTTCCAACATGCTGAGTCATGATGACCGTTGAGAGTACACAATTCAAACCTATTGTAGAACTTTTTCTCAGATCTTTTTTAAATCGATGAATTTGCTGTTGATAGTCTGTATCACAAGCAGATTTATAAAATCTACTGCAGTCATGTAGTTTAGCTCTATCGTGTACAATCCTTTGTAAACCACCCTTTTCTCTGTCTCACAGATTGAACTGGCCATATTGAAATTCCCCTACGACTCATGGGGAACCCCGTTCCAGCAGCTCAAACAGGTGGTGGACGAGCCGTCCCCACAGCTGCCTGCCGACCGTTTCTCCCCAGAGATGGTGGACTTCATCTCCCAGTGGTGAGTCTCGCACCTCCATGTCAGATGTGCAGACCTTCCTCACTTCATGCTCCTCATTCACCTCGCTGTGTGTGGCGCAGAAGCCCAGCAGGGGTCAGTGTTTGCTTTGTGTTTACTGAAAGAGGTGGCCCCAGCACAGTATCTGTAGAGTTCTTATCACTTGACTATTTTTAGATGTGGTTTTTTATAAAGTTGTTATAAATGTATATGATATTGTTTTCAGTTTTTTCTCACTTTAGCATGTTTCTCTTTGTTTTTACAGCTTAAGAAAGAAGCCAAATGAGAGACCAGCTTATACAGAATTAATGGTAAGTAGTTTTAAGATTACTTTTTTTCTTACCGTCAAACGACAACAAAATGTGTAATGGTTCCACTTTCAAAATCCCGCTCTGATCAGTGTGCTCTGGTTCTTGCATTTGTCCACAAGAGGCCAGAATTAGCTAGTTAACTCATGATTATGTGTTAATTTCAAAAGTTAATAACATCATTAGATAATTTGTTCTCATTTAAGACTAATCCCTAAGTGTTGTCTTTTCTTTTTTTGTTGCAGCAACATCCATTTCTCACCCTGCATGACTCCAAAGACACAGACGTGGCCAGTTTTGTCAAGGTCATCCTCAAAGACTGAGGGCCCGGCCCATCAGGCTAGGCAGGACCTCTTAGCAACCAAACCAATGGCCTACCTTTTCTCTTTTTCTTTTTTAAAAACTCACTGGAATGACTCTCACACACACAACAGGCGGGCGACCCAAAGACTGACAGCAGCCCAGCAGCACTGGAGAGAAAGAGAGAGAGAGAGAGAGAGAGAGAGAGAGAGAGAAGAGAGAGAGAGAGAGAGAGAGAGAGAGTGTGGTGGTAATATGAACTCATACAGTTAAATCCAACTGGAGAGGTTTAATTCGCTCCTCCAAGCTTCCTGTGTGTGCAATTATTCAACTTGGCAAATAGGAACTGAACCAGATTTTATTTTTTTTGCCCCACTGCCCATTTTTTATCTCTCTTCAGAACGGACAGAGCCAGCCATCATTTCTTTGTGACACTTATTGTATGAATACTTTGAATTTCATCTGCAAAAAACCAACAGTTAATGTGTATGTTGTTGTGTATTGAAAGCTATATTTGCATATGCGTTTGTATGTTTCTCATTATACAGACTTTTGATACTGTATATCACCGACAAGTGTGAATTTTACCGGACTAGGGCCTTATTGTCATATCGCATCAGCTGAACCGTACGACCGGGGTCTGTCCTGATTGGTCAGTGCAGGGGCTGCTTTCATGGCAGCGCCATGCTCTTGAGCTGAGACAAACATGTAAGAAATGTCAACGGTCACATTTTGGACGGGAGGCATTTCATATCATTTATAGATCTATTACAAAGTGAGGCGGGAATGTAAAGCGTCCCGTAACACCTGATCCGATTGTGATCCGGGCTGAGGCCCTTCATGCAGTGACCCCCCCCCCCCCTCCGTACTCGTCTTTTTTTTGGGTATTAACGAGTCGCCTTCACTGCTGCGATCGTTTCTACCTGAAAGTATTCAGGGGTTGCCTAACCAAGCTCACAGCTTTATCTCTTTCTCTGTGCCATTTTGTAAATCGTTCTCATGAATTACTGCATTAACTGTGTTTTTCCTCTTTGTTCTGGTCTTGCGTTTAGATTTGATTTCAGCAGCATTTAAACGCATGCCTTTGCCTACTGTTCTTAATTCTGGAGTCGGCATAGTCTTTTCATATGAGGCACTTACATTTTCTTTTTTCAGAGATATTATTATGCATTACACAGACAGTATGTTAGGGGAATAATTTATGTGTTGAAGATGTAAATACTATTTCCTTTTTTAATGTAACATGGCACTGTCCTTACCTGGCAGTGCAGATGAGGAGTGGTTGGTAGTAGTCAGTTTTAATGCAGTGTGACACACACACACACACACACATTTATTTGTACTCGGCCGGCTGACTATTATACACCGATTTTGGACTGATGTGCTGTCAGGCTATACCGCTCAGGTTTCCTCCTTCATGCGGAGATGACTCCCATTTTCTTTTTCCCCAGGTCGTACTCCAGAGCCTCTTTTCAGTCCAAGGCGGGCAGCCATTTTCTGTTTTGTCTGACCATACTATGCAGAGCTTCTTCACCTCGGATTCACTGCAAGAGGCCCTTGTCATGTGACAGTTTCCCCACTTCAAGTGTTCAGAGACTGTGATGGCGGTGAAAGTGATGATGATGACGGTCTAGCACTCATTGCCTCTGGTTTACACTGTAGTGCAACCTTTATCAAAAGTCAGTGAGCGAGGAGTATTTATGATTGTGAATAATAAGGGAAAGCTAGCAACACCACAAAGAAGCTGCTATTTTATTTCTTTTTTCCCCATTTTGTTTTTCTTTTTAGTCTGCCTTCTTTGGATGGCCATTCCCTTGGTGTGTAAAAGTTGTGTTTTTACGCTGGTCACAATGAGAATGGAACACTTGCTCTACCTCTTCCTCCTTCACTCTATTTGCCACCTTGTCATTGGGTGGGACTGACAAACTTGAACTATATGGAAAGACAAAAAATAAAGGCTTTATTGTTCAGTATGTTCGTTTTAATGATTGATGCTTGTTTAGCAATGACAGAAGTAGTTCACGGGACAAATGCAGAGATCACAACCCTGTCAACATTTAGAGAATGAGGCTGGCAAACATTTCTATATCTTTATTTTTGTCATGAAAATACCAAAACTAACTATATATTGTATATGAGAAATGTACAATCCTATCCAAGTCTTATAAATGCAGTGTTTTGACATCTGATAAGTCTTTCTAACTCATTTAGCTACTTCTTAAAGTGAACATATTGAATTGTATTTCATAATTTCTCTAGAACCTGAAGCAACATGCTCCCACTGACTATCCCCAATGCTTTGGTAAAATGCAGGACGGTTTTTGCACTTCGAAATATTCTAAATTCACAAATCACTGCTGTTTTAGTTACTTGTGCCAATAACTTTACAGTTCACAGCTGAAGTTTCATTTTGTAACACTCGGAACTTGTTTAAAATCTGGCAGGGCAAAGCTCTTTTGTTATCCAAACAAGAATAGCGCTAACTAATTCAACCTTTTTACGATTCTTGTAGCTGTCAAAACATTTTAAGAGAAAATTGCTTTCTGCAATGAAGCACATTTTAATTGTACTAAACAAAAAAACAAAGCTAAAATCTGAATTTTATCCTCAGTTAAAATGTTGTCTCAAATTTGATAGAGGTGTTTTGCAGCATAATTGGTCTCTTTTCAAAGTCAACTTTAATTTCAATTATTCTGTGTGTTTGTACAGACAGAGAGATCGAAATAACGTTTCCAACAATCCCTAATACAAATATGTATAAAATATATATATATATTTATATATATATGTGTATTGTGTATATATATATATATATATATATATGTGTATTTTTTTTTATATATATACATATATAAATATACAATCAACAGACACATTTGCACACATTAAGATAAAACACAACACTCGATATACACAAAATAACAGTCACTTCAATATCTTAGGGAATAGTGCAAGACTGTCCATAGCATGAGTTTTACGGTTGACCCACTTAATTCCTACTTCCCTGTCACTAACAGTTCCACTTAAGGCTCTCGTTCCTTTAATCAACAAGAGAGACACTGGAGCTGACTGATCCAGCTGATAAAAGGCGGCCAAGCAGTCTCAAACTGCAAGAACATGTTTTTCATCCTCTCACATGCATATAGTGTGAAAAATGTATCGTGCGATAAAAGTGTGATTCAAGCTACTAAGGTGGAAATGGTACATGTGGATTCATAACACATGTCTGGTAAATAACCCCTCATGCTTTGTGGATTCATCGCCTAATCCCTCTGCAGTTTTAAAACCTGAACTCCATTTTCAAACCAAAAAATTACCTTGCTTTTATATAATATTTTGCCTGTTTATTACAGTTTCCATCTGCGTAGACATCCTTATGTAAGCACAGAGAAGTGAACACATATTTTATTGCATGTCGTGATTCTTCAGGATGTGTGATGAATAGAAAGAAGACTCTTATTTTGATGGCTCTTTCTGAGTGCTTTTCTGCTGTGAATGTTAACAACAGGGGTTAACAAAAGCTCATTACTCCGCTCTGAGTGTTTGTCAAAGACCGATGACTTCATGCCAGGATGAGAAAACTCAATGCCATGTAGACTGCAGGCAGTGGGTCCAGTGTTTTGTGCAGCCGAACGAAAGACTCTTTTTAGGAAAGGAGGCCTTCGATGATAACGACTTGCATAATGCCGCTCAAAAGATTGGCGTGTGAGTCGAAAAAGTAGGCAGTTGAATTACTGTCCTGGCTCAATTCAATGTGGACTATGATGCAGAAGTGAATCAAACCTCTCTAAACTGCACATTTTAGAAACTTGGCAGTGTAGCAGTGAAATGGTTGGGTAATTGTGGCTTATTTTGTACATTACAAAGAATGGTCAAAACGCAAGAAATTACTCAATCAACTCAAGTAACGTACTTATCAGTGGTACTCAAACTTAAGGAACTTTCATTTTACTTGATTTATTCCAAATGACAACATACCTTACACAACAGGAGATACATCTTTATTCATGTAGAATGCTACTTACACGTTAATGCTTTAAATGAAATAATATACAATTAACTAAAATACACAGTGGATTTATGTATTCCATATTTTTAACAGCCAAAATGTGAAATCCCATTGGACCCCAATTATTCCAAGCTTGCAACACCCGCATGACAGCAGCCTGCTTTCGCCTTAAGGTGCATATTATAAATATATATGATACTGTCGTAAGTTATCACACGCTTTTGATTTGAACCTTCTTCTTTGATTTAAGGGAAGGGTGAAGCAAGCCAGGGCTGTTTCGTCTTTTCCGCTCGGCCTTGACTGTATTCTTTTTTTCTCAGGCAGGTCTGATCTAGCAAGAGAGTACAAGTGATTACATTTGTGCTTATTTTTTCTCAGTTAAGTTTGGGAACTCCGTTAGTTGTTACCCCGAGGGACCCACAAATTGACAGATGAGTGCCAGACGAGACATGGTAAATATGTGCACTCCATTTTGGAATTGTTTCCTATAGTGTTTTGCCAAATCTCACGATCTCCTGACCTGCTTACGTCCTGGAGATGGAAATCAAGGGGAAGCTTTTGCAGCTCACTAGGGTGCCACACAATGTTTCAGACAATCATCCCGCTGATTAATACAATGTCTCAATTTGAATAATTGTGCGCTTTTTAAATGAGCATGTTGTGGGGCAACTCGTACTAGAAGTAGTAGCCTACGTGTACATCGTCCCTCATCAACCTTCAATGATTGTGAATCCCTTTCCCCTCTCTCTTTCTGTTACTTGCCAAGGAAAACATGACCCTCACCATGCCCTTAGATGGCAGACTTACAAGCAGCAGATAGCAACATATAAGTTGCTCTTCTTCAGGGTGGGCTGTGTTGGAAAGTTAGAATGGGGTCCCTTTTCCTGAAGAGGGTAAAAGAGCATTTATGGAACCCGATCTTATTAGGACCTCGGCTGACACTGCACAACATTATGCAACATGCTTAACTATAGATGGGCTTCCTATTGCTCTGTCATTCTTGGTGTGGGAGTGGCAGTGGAATTGACTTGGAGTTGTCTCATTACAGCTGTCTGTTTACTCAAACTGCGTCCCAAGTAAATATACACAACATAGACTGTATATACACAAACATGCATATTTTTCAGGATATTTTATCCAAGCAGACATCCTTTCATTAATTCTGCAAATGGGGACAATAATAATTGAAATACTTCTAATTATTTTGACTTTAAATCACCATATATTTGGCCAAAAAAAAACAAGCACTCCAGAAGAAGGTGTTGTTTTCTCCAGTTTTCATCAACTTACACATGTAATTGTATTTCGACAGATCCAGCTAATCAACAATGTTACAAAGTTATATAAAACAAAGCTTTTACCTTTTCCAACTGCAACATAACTAATGCGTACACATTGATGCATCACCCATTGTAATCCAGGGATAGTATTCTGACATTGGTCAATCCACAAAAGGATTATAATGATGCTTATACTTATGTACTTATGTAAGACTTTGAAAGCAGAACGTTTACTTATAACAAAGTAACTGTTTTGCTACTTTTAAGAAATTGTCATATTTAAGTAAAATATGTACTTCCAGTTTGTTTTTTACTGCAAGATGTTTAGGAAGTCCGTTTTTTTATTTCTGATCAATTGGATGAAATTCTACATATTTCATTTAGAAAATATGTCTGGAATTGATAGATATTGAGATCGGATCAATATGACAAAGGAGGTAATTTAAGTGTTTCTTGAAGGGCAGCTGCTTAACATAATGAACAGGTTGGATTAGCATGTTTTAATACACGCCTGGTGCTATAATGCTGATGCTAGTGTAACTTAAAGTGTACTTCTGCAATGTTGGGCGTAAACTTCCTTCCTTCTATCCAAAGCCTTCAGGGCAGTGCTGTGCTCTCTGGATTCAAAGGGTTGGGTGACAAAGCAGTAGTCCATGAATACATCTGTTGCAGAAAAGGAAATGTCTCAGAGCAACTTATACAGAATGAGGTAATTACATAATAACAATTTAGTGACATCTTGGGGAATAAAAAGTGGCCTGGGAATGTGTACTGTTGATTTTTTTTTAGACTTCTTAACCCAGTTGGCAACGCGTGGTACAGTTATGATACAGCTCCTACTTGGCATCAGTTACAAGAGCAGTCAAAGCTGGATTTCATTTGATGGAAGCAGTAAAGGACATATTTAATCACCTTAAAGAGAGAGATTCCTTAATCTTGGTATCTTGAGTGTGCTTTAAATTGATATCCCCAAACTTCAGAGTAGTCTGAACTCAGTGGAAATACAGCACTCTTATTACACCCTTACAATCCAGCACAGCAGCTTAACTAATCACTCTGTGTATGCTAGCTCTTTCCTCTTGAGTTGAAGGTGATACCTGAACAGATTTGAGAGCTTGGATTAAAAAAACAATTTGTAGTTTTAACCCACGAGGCATCAATCACAAGTCACAATGCAAAGCCTGAGAGGAAATCTGAAAGCCCCTCGGTGTGTTTAATATAAGCAGACTGATGACGCATGTGTCTGTCTGCATGTGCATGACTGTGTAAATAAAGGCGAATATTTCTGATCAGTCCTCTATATAAAAATGCACAGATGCAACTGCTGAATGGGTAGATTTCAACAACAATCTTTCAAGCTATATTTATTGCGCCAGATAAGGCTTCAAACTGGACTCCTATGATACAAAACGCATGTGTGTGGGTGGTAGAAGGATGATTGTGTCCTGTCTGTGTCGGTGTGTGAGAGGCAGTGTGGCAGTGTTCTGCACTACTTAGCAAATAAAAGCCTCCTGACTTTATGTTCAGTTAGGTGATCAAAGGAGGACCCCTGAAAGGAAATACATTGCTAAGCTACCATATACAGTATGAAATATTAATAGAGACCATATATATATATATACATCAATAATAAGATTGTTGCTATGAGGGATTACATTCAGGGGATACTGCAGGCTGAACAAGG